AGGACATATGGCCCCTGCATGGGCATCAGACCTGGGAGCATGTCCTACCCTGCTCTCATGGGTCCCACTGTTTCCTGACCTAGGCTCTGTCCCTGAGCCATCAGGTGAACCCAACCCAAGCCGAGGATGTTGGCCAATGCTCAGGCCAGCTCAGCCCAGCCCACTGCCCCCTCCATCCAAAACATGCACACCCACGGTTCTCTGGGATGGAACAGCAAAGACCCACAGGGCCTCGCAAGTTTCAGGCAGCCTCCTACACCAGGCTTCACTGCGGAGACTTGAGAGTCCATCAATTCATTCATGCCATACACATATGCCCTGCATAGGTACAAATCCTGGTTCTTCCACATCGGCCCCTTGGCGGGGCTCACTGCTATAGGTCTCATCCACAAAAGGAGGGCAATGACATATCTCGTAAAGGTTTGGGGTAAAGATGAAATAAGAATGTAAGGAAAGAAAAAAAACAAAAACAAACAAACAAAAAAAGAATGTAAGGAAAGCCCCGAGCGCTCGACAGCAGGCACTCAATCAAAGGGACCTGTAATTCTATCGTTAGCTCCCTTTTCCTCTGGCACTTTCACTTCCGAACACTTTCAAGCGCTCATTATGAAAGGAATATGCAAATGACAGAAAGAGGACAGGGAGAACAGGTATGGTATCCGCTTTTCAGAGGACATTAAGACTTGGCAGTGAAGTGACTCACCCAAGATTACACGGTAAATCAGTGGCAGGGTTGAGACTTGGTCCTGGGGCTCTTCTTAATCCAAAGCTGTTTCTGGCCTGCCCAACAGCATGCGTGCACTAAGAAAGATGCCCTTCGATCCAAATAAAACATGGTGAAGAGATGGGAGACAGGACCCACGCTGAGAACAAGGGCCCTTCCAGTTAAGATTTACAGCGACTTAGCCTCACCAGGTCCAGGCTACCTGTGACTAGCGAATCGCTTACAACTCAAGCCAGATGGAGGAACTCAGAACATGGGGTCATCAGGTGCCTCCTCCCAGAGGTCCTTTACACCTGTTCCCCGAGGGAGCCTGTACGCACTTCCCTTGACAGCCTGTTATTCTAGGTACTATCGGGGATACTGCAGAGGTCCCAGCTGGGTCCACGAACGCACAAACCACACTTGTCACAGATCATGAACATTCCTCACAAGCGAAACTCTCACTCAGCACTGAAAACTCATGTCTTAGCAATCATTCGCACAAATCTGATTAGTGTCTTAGTACTGCTGGAGGAAAGTGCAAGTTAGAACTGAGCAGAAAAGCTGCTTGCTACACTTCGGCCCACAGCTATCAGAGCTGGAGGGAAAAAAAGAGCAAGCCAGAATTCAAACGTACCAACCCGGGGGCACCATGCACAAGGGGCAAAGTGGTCTTCGGAGTTCAACAAACCCAGGAGATTAAATGCCTAACGTAACACAGCGACAACAGTGAGGACACCGGCATCCCCAGATCAGATTATGCTTCATATTCTTCTGTTAATAAAGGAGGGAAAAGAAATACTGCAGAGTCCTGCCCAAAGTGAGAATAATTTGAGGTTAATACGGATTCTTAGCTCACTAAGAAAACCTGGATACCAAGGATACCTCATTCCCAAGGGATTTCAGAATCCAAAATTCTGCAGTAGGGAACAGTCCTCTATAAAATACTACAGAATTCAAGCTTTTCACTAATTCTTTCCAGGCCCCTCCTCTTTCTCATCCCTCTCCCCACCAGCCTCGCTTAATAAGGTTTTATTGGAACCCACCATGAGCCACAGGTAGAGACTTAAACCAGCTCCACCCTCCTGGTGGAGCTGAAGCCAGGAGTGACATCACCTCAAGAAGGCTCCGAGCCCAGGAGGAGGCAGTTAGCGCCTCCCCCAGCCCCCACCCACTCCGCCAGGCCTTTGGGAAATGTCTCTACTAGCCCCCATAATTAGGGCAAAAAGGGATTTTATGCCTTTCAAGAAAGAGAAAAGGGAAAGAGAGGAAAACAGCAAATAAGTATTCCAGAACAAGCAATTTTTCTGGCATGGAAGAAACAAAAGACCACGGGAAACACACACAGAAACCTTTTTAGAAAAACCTGTTCTTGTCTCCTGGGAGTGGTTTCAAGCAATCTTCTGCCCTAGCAGCCTTCCCTTGCCCATTCAAAGTCAGGTGCCCAGGATCACGCCCTACCTCACTGGTCCCCAGGGGGGTTCTGACCTGCTTCCCACTGGGACCAAAGTGAACCCTGAGAGAGGACCAGATTTCTGCAACCTGTAGACACCTCCTATTTCAGGCAAACCCCACTGCCTTATTTCTTTTAGGAAGGGGGAAGGGGAGAGTACTTTATGCCACTTTATGTCCCCACTTTTAACCCAACATGGACACCCACTGTAAGAGGGAAAAGGCAGGGCCAGGAAAGAGAAACTTACCTTTATACTTTATAAAAGAAACTACACTTTATAAAAGAAAAAGGAAAACCTGAGCTCCAAGCCAAGGTCTGACTCCAAAGCTTAGTGCTTTCAGGCTCCACTCAGCCACCCCCTCCAGGAAGCCCTCCCACCACCATATTCTAATGAGACTCCCTCCTTCCTCCCTTCCCCCTTGAGACTCAACTGCCTCCCAGTCCTGTCTCCCTCTGTAATGTGTCAAAGTTCCTAGACAAGATATAATGCCTCCTAGTGCCGCATCTGCCCTTACCCAATACACAGGAAACCCTGGGAAACACGGGCCACAGAGAACCTCGCATCCCATCTGCCTCGGCCATGGCAACAGGCACGCTGGGATGCCAGCTCACGAGAATGCCAGCCTCCACCAAGGCTGGCAAAAGAACCACCACCCACACTCCTGATTCTGCTGCAACTAGGTGGAGAACCCCACCTCAGCAGTCTCTGCTGAGGCCCAATCTTGGGCCTGGAGAGAGTGCAGCAGTCAGGTAAGGCCACATAGGCCACGGCAGTAAGGCACACACCTCCACTCTCTTCTCCGGAGTATTAACTACGATTCAAGGCACAATCTGAGTCCCACAGAAGCTGCAACCCTAAAGAGAGAAGCCAGACGGGCACCTGGGTGGCTCAGTCATTAAGCGTCTGCCTTCCCTTAAGGTCATGGTCCCAGGGTCCTGGGATCAAGCCCCCATAAGGCTCCCTGCTCCGCGGGAAGCCTGCTTCTCCCTCTCCCACTCCCCCTGCTTGTGTTCTCTTTCTCAATGTGTCTCTCTCTGTCAAATAAAATCTTTAAAAAAAAAAAAAGAGAGAGAGAGAGAAGCCAGATGCCAACTTCTTGGACCTGAAAGCCAGGAATGCACTGGAGATGGAGCTCAGAAATCCTATCAGTCCCCATGGCTCCCCCAGATTTGCACCCTCCGCCCCCCACCTCCAACTCATCAGCAATTCAAGAGGCATCAGGGACCCTGTTCTGGACTTCAAAATACTTCCAGACACAACAGTCGCCTGGAAAGCAGGGAGGGCACTTCACAGATGAGCCTGGAAAATACCTCACCTGAGCCAGACCCTATAAAATACCCCACAGCTCTCAATAGCTGGTTGCTTCTATTACTGTACACGGACCTGATTCCAGACGGTCGGCATTGCTGAGACTTGTGCAGATGCCACATTATCAGGGATAGACCCGGCACCTCCCCCCGTCCCCCGGCCCCGATCCTTCTCTGCCCACGTGCCTCCCTAACCAAGAGCTAGGGAAGTCGAGCGGTCCAGATGTGGTGGCGAGAGACCGCCACTTCCGGAAGGGGAAGAGCCCCCCCCCCCCCGCTCCGTCCGCACCTCCCCTCTCCATCCCCGGGGATAGCCGACCCAGCCCGCGGGGAGGGCCCCGGGGCTCCGGCAGCGGGCGTGGGGGCTGGGGGTGGACGTGGACACGCTGCGGCCAGCGCTGACACCTGGCGGCCGCTCAGGTCCCGGCCCACGGCAGGGCCGGCGCTGCGGGGCGGTTCCCAGGAAAGGGTTACAGGGGCCGAGAACAAAGCGCCCCCACTGGGGAAGGCGGGCTAGCGGACGGCGGCGGGGGCGGGAGATCACTTTCTGGGGGCCCTCGGGATGCTCTTTGTCGGCCAGGTCCCTCTTTAAAGGGGGACCCACCCCTCGCCAAAGGTGGACGCTGGAGTCCTACCCAAAGGCCTCCTCCCCCAGCCACGGGCTCCACATTTGTCCCTCTTTCCCCCCGGCTTCACTGGGCGGGCCAAGGGACCCGCCTTCCCTCCGCGCGGCTCCAGCACAAAGCCAGGCCGGGGGAGGGGAAGAGCCATTCCGGGGTCCACTCGCGTGGAAGCCACAGCCCGCGCCGGCCGTGCCCCGCACCGCACGCGCCCCTCCGCGGGCAGCACAACTTCAGCAGCCCCAAACTTGGGTTCCTACGGGGCTCCGGTGTTCGGGGGACAACTTCCCGGAACCTCCCGCTGCCAGCTCGGCCCGGCTCCCTTAGGGCAGCCGACGCGAAGCCGAGGGCCCCACCTCCGCCGCCACCGCGACCCCCGCGCAGCCCTGGCCCGAGCTCCTCTGCCAACGCGCCGGCCCCGCTGCGCCCAAACTTGCCTCCGCCGAAGGGGCCGGGCGCCCGGGCTCGGCGAGTCTGCTTTAAATTAGGGTCAGCGGGCGGGGCGTTGTGGCCGCGATCACTGCATCTTCCCGGGTCTCCGGCGGGGACCCCGGCCGCTGCGGTGCCTGGGCCGGCCGGAGGGCAGCCGGCGACCCCGGGCGCCGCCGCAGGCTGGCGGGCTCCGACGCACGTGGAGCCGGTTCACATAACTGAGCGCGGGGCCCCGGCGCAGGCTCCTCTCCGCGGGGCGCCCGAACCCCCGGCCCTTAGCGGCGGAACTCGCGCGGCGCCCACCGACGGCGGAAGCAATTGAGGCGCGAGCCCTGGTTTCGCGGTCACAGTCCCCGGCCCGCCGGGCTAGCGCGGGAAGGCAAGTCCCCGCTTCCCCTCCCCCTCCACGTGCCGCCGGCGGCATCGGCGGGTCTGCAAGCACCGGCTTCCCGCCGCTCCCTGCCCGGCCCCGGGCCGCACTCACCGGGAGAGCCGGCTGCAGGCGCAGCGCCAGCGCGCAGAGCCAGAGCCAGAGCGCCGCGCGCCTCATG